GATACAATCTCTAGATTGCTGCCTGCACAACGCACCCGTATTTTATATGATCACTGCAACATCGGTGCAAACTTCCTCCACGTGGCTCGGATGATTTTTTAAAGATCATATTCGAGCTCAGCGTTATTAATTTACCTAGAAACAATATTTAGAAAGCAGAAAAAACTTTTTTGTCTTCAACTCAATTGCTGCCGCCCACAGATTCGGTAGGGCACCTGGGGGACCGGCAGTCAGAAATTTTTTCTTCCGAAAAAAATTTTAAAAAATGGTTTCTAGATCAGAAAAATTCGCTGATTATTAATACGTGGTCAGATTTGGCTTCAAAAAATAGTACATGGTCGATAGGGGTCTCGTGTAGCCCCTGCTCGTTTGTACAAATGATGCAAATAAATGGTATATGTAGATTAGGTATACGTTATTGAGACATAATTATCGAAGTACTGCGCCAGCGTGGTCCTGATCGAATGCAGCTTTAATTAATGTAGCGTCTGCAACTCATGATGTGCAGGTATAAATTCTCCTTGACTCAAGTCAAGAAGAATTTATACCATGGTCGCAAGATGGAAAACCAGATTTTCGAAATTCTACAGCGGCAATAAGAAGGGTTGCATCTGTTACTGGGCGGAAGTTTAGTAAAATTAGGTTGTCACGAAAAAACACTTCATGGAATTTCCTCGCGGAAATAATGTCTTTGGGTGTGAATGTACGAGTATGATATATCCAGAATATATGACATTCTATAGTACAGTTTATTCGGCTTGTTTCTGAACGGTGAATGGGAATCTGTAACATGCACGTGATTGGCAGAATACTGGAGGGTGATTAAGTAAGAACATGTACGCAAGTACCTTTAGGAGGCCCGTCTTTACGAAATTTGCAGGCAAGCAATTCTCTCGAAGCAGTGCTGGCGGTGATGCACGCTGCGTTCGTGTTGCAAACTGTTTTATTCGGTTCATGCGTGTGTCGTGTGCTCATTATAGCACCAGTTTCCTCCCAGAAATTAACCCTCAGTTGTGGATTGGATCAAAATCTAAAAATGTGATCTTGTGGAAAACCCCGTTAACAGGCGTACCGCAATGCAGTGCAATCGCACACAGGTGACGGTTCAGTGTAGATTCTGATGGCTGGCTGTTCCCTCGGACTTGCAAGATAACTCTGTTGCCTTATTGTTTAAACCAAACTAATGTCCAGATGAGAAAAGAAAAAAAAGCAGTTTCTTATGCCAAGCAACCTGATTTTTGTGACAAATTGCGTCGCTGTCAAAAAATTTCAGTACATGCCGCATCACGCTCATTGAGCGTCATAAGTAGCGACCTAGAGTGTGTTTAGAATGCAGAATCGATTTTTTTATTTTACTCCATATCCACCGCCTTAGGTTACTCTGGATGCTCGGGAACCAGCAGTCAGAACTTCGCCTCTAGCTGTTCCAAATTTAGAAGACGGATTCTAGATAAATTTGATGAATTTCTGAATCTGTATCTTTATGTTTATATACAAGGTTTTTACGTAAACTAAAATTGCTAATGTCCTACAAAGTCCATGGATGGGAGATCCAGAAAACTGGACGAGTCGATAGCATTTTAAGTTAGTGTACAAGTCGGGGGAGTCTGGGACACAACCAGCCGTCAGCGGGTAACCTAAGTGATAACCAACAACCGTGGATGGTTGCACTGTCTGCACTGCTAAAATATCCTCTTAAAAGGCGCGAATCAAATGCGGTCACAATTGGGTTACAGATTTCCACAGACCGTTCAAAAACAAGCCGTATATACTTACAGCATACAGATGATTTACAATGCACTATGCATATCACATCAATATGCATGCATGGCGTATCTTTGTATGTTTAACTCACTGCATTCTGCAAGGTCTGGCACCTTCGGAAAATACAAAACCACTCCCACAAAATGGGCGAATAAAAGGCGTGTAACATTTTTATTACAAATCTCCATAGACAAACTCAAAACACTAAAGTGACATTTCCTACGGAAATAGCTCCGTCAGGCCTGGATAGGAAAGGGAAATAATCGGGATAAACGGGAACTGGATACAAACCACATGGAATACTTCTATAATTATTAGGCTATTAGCCCAACCACATCCTAGCGACAGCTATGCTGACTATGCAGTATGCCCGTATTAACTGACATACCGTAAACCACACCCCTAACTTGTGCCAATCACAGGGGTGTAACATTTTGGTTACAGATTTCCCCATAGACCGTGCAAGAAACAAGCCGTATACACTCTTATACAGAAAGTCTCACTTTCTGTTTTTATTGTAGTGTATAGGTCCTGCAACAGTGTGCAGGCCTGACGGAAAATACACCAGGGTGGCGTTTTTTTGCCTGCTTCGCAGTTAGCGAAAACATTCCGTCGCGAACTCACTGTACAAATTACGTATTATTCGTAATTCGTATACTTACTTACTTACTTACTGTAATTAACATTTAACGGCATAGTTAGGAACCATACACAAATTACGTACATAAAGGATTTTTCGGGAACGTAATTTATGGATAGTCCCTTACAGTATCTTCCTTTGTGTAACTTGATGCTTGTGCTGTGCTAAACCACCCCCTAAAATGTGCAAATCAGAATCGTGTAACATTTTGGTTACAGACTTCCATAGACCGTTCGAAAACAAGCCGTAAACTAAATAGTGTACAAAGACTACTCGTAGTCTTTGTAATTATTCTAGTTTAACGGACTGCCAACTGGTGTCAATCCGCTCCGGAATAAGAAAGACAGTAACGCGAGTGGCAGCTATCTTCGTTTCGTGTCTGCTGGTCACTTTTATATGAAATCGCTGTTTAACACTGCCTAGTGTCCACTCGTAGAATTTCGGCAAACATTAAGTACATGATCAAACGATTCTTATCTTTGTCTCGTGGTATTGTGATTACAATTATTAATAATACATTCTCTTGTGCTATAGATACTTAGTCACAAAAGTGATTAAGGGAAATGGGATATGGCGTCAAAAATGGGATATATTACTATACACTAAAACTTTCGCTTCTGCGCACTCCGATTCACTTTTTTCTAATACTTTATGGTATTCTAAAGCTAAATGATTTGTATACGTTGGTCTTAAAACCGTTTGCGCGCGCAACATCCGGTTGCCGAGATATGGCGTATTAAAATGAGTGAAAAGTGTAAATACATTGTTGTGTACCAAACGTCTGGTAATTACCCGATCTTCTTGGAACTTTGTTATAAAAGATACATGACCATAAAGCCGAAAGTGAACCAATTTCAAGTTCATAGCACTTTCCCATAATTTTCATAATTTTGAACTTTTTAAAATTTCTGAAATTCATTTTAAAATCGGAAAAAATGCTGTGGGTCTGAAATTGGTTCACTTTCGACTTTATGGCCATGTGTCTTTTATTGTAAAATCTGAAGGAAATCGGATAATGACCAGACGTTTGGTACACAGCAATGCATTTACACTTTTCACTCATTTTAATACGTCATATCTCGGCAACCGGATATTGCGCGCGCAAACGGTTTTCAGATCAATGTATACAAATCATTTGGCTGTAGAATGATATAAAGTAATACAAGAACGTGATTCGGAGTGCGCAAAAGCGAATGGTTTTGTGTATGTATAATGTATCCCATTTTTGACGCTATATACCGGGCCATTTTCCTTAAGTATATACGACTGCCCACATTACCACGCATTTGTTTCACGAAATCGGTTCTGTCATTACACTGCGATTAAAGCTACCAGTAAAACAATTTTATTTATATTTATTTTTTTGTGTACAGTTTATTGACAGACCGATGTTATTAATGTTATGTATAAATGTAGTAATGGTAATTATTGTGCAGTTATTTCCATATTCACTCAAACCTAATAGCTTTACTACCTAAATTAATTACACCAGACAGAACTTTTAGCATGGCGTAATGGACAGTGTCGGTCGCGGTAGCGCGCGACCAGTTGTTTTCAAGGTATGGAAGAGTGAAAGAAATTACAATACGGTAAACGGGCCGCGGGCCGGCTTTTAGATATTTAGAAATTTGATAAATAATAGACACTTTAGTCCGTAAGATACTGAGAGACTTACTCAGATTTCTTGATATTTTTTTAATTTCAAAAAACTGGAGGCTCAAAAAATTAGAGGTAACGGCCAAGCTGCCCGGGGCCGAGTCGAAATATTTAGAAATTCGGGAAATGTAAAAGCTTTGAAGCCGAATTTGGAAAAACTTATAGTTATCTTGAGGTATTCGAATGGTTTTAAAAACATCTTAAAGGTTGCAAGAATTCAAAGAAAAACGACCAAAGGAAGACTCATTACAAAAGAAAGTTCTTCGTCCCATCCTGAACAATTTTTGCAAAACAACTTCTAAAATCAATAACAATTCGCAACGCTTTCAGAAAATTTCAAACTTTGATCAGTCATCAGACTATAGAAAAGTCATTTTCAAGAAGTACTGTAAAGCGTTTTTACGACAAATGTTTGCGCATCTTGTTTAAAATAAATGAAAGTAACTTCCGGCCTTACAAAGTTTGTTTTTTTTTCGGGATGGGGTAAGTTTTTTTAAAAAAACGCTCCACAGAATTTTAGTCATTTGAGCTATACACACCTTCGTGTTTGTATGAAAATTTTGAAATTCTGCCTCAGTTCCCCCAAAATAACGACTTTCAGTTAGCAACTTTTGCACTTTAAAATTACTGGAGTTTAAACTTCCATAACATGTAGTGAAATCATATCACTGTGCTTAGTCAAATGCGTAGTTATGATGCAGCACAAGGGCACGCACTGCGACAGCGAAAATACCGTAGTCAGAAGGATCGAAATTGGTAGAATATGTTCTTAACTGAATTGCTATTGCCAATAAATAGGTGCACAAATAAAATATCTATTTATTGGCAATAGCAGTTCAGCTAACTAACAAAAGTTGCAGATGCTACTTAACGCTGGTACACTACCTGCTTTATTTACTGTATATTTTACTGATATATAATTGTAGTTACATTAGCTCACTTTTTCTTGGACGTTCGCATCTGCATCCCGGTACGGATGCCCCTTCGTACCATCGGTGTTTGAGGAAATCTGTTTCGTATTCAGGACGTGCCCATCACAGACATTCCCATCTGGCGTACGTATGCTTGTTGTTACTTGGCTAATAGCTGTTCGCTTATGCAAGCGATGCTGTTCGTCTTTAGTGTGACCTTTTCCGACGTCGAATTGTCTCATCTACCATGATAAAACAGTTACTTTTCGTCTACAACATGGTGTATATCGCTGTGTCCATACAGTTACTTCGGTATGCAGTTTTATTGCTTATATCGGTTATACTGTGCTGTCTGAAATCACCGAAAGCACAGCTTCGCCCACACAAGTCTGCGCTTCTACATGAAATGTTTTTTTAGTTCAGCTTGTAATGCTTGTAAACGTTCATCTCACTATATTGTGGCTGCGACCTTTAGAAAGCAAAAATAGTAACCAGTTTTATGCGACGATGCGGTATACAGGGTGGTCGCGCCAAGTGTGGACGTAACAAAATATTCCCAGCTGCTACCGTTGAACCCCAAAATGGCCTCGCTATTTTTTTATGATAGTGCTTTATCTACAGCAACATTTTTAATCATATTTCTGCCCTAGAAGGTAATATGCAGAAATCTGGAGCCGAATTTAAACTTTCAATTTTTTCACAAAAATCGCACTGCTTGATAAGAAATATTCATGATCTATCAATAATCTTTTAAAAATTGTGGGTGGTTGAGAACTATCAACCAATGCAGTGGTCTTACAGTGGTACAATTCTACCTACCTTTAAATTGCTAACATCTTATCCAACGCGAGCCGCGCTTCAGACAACCACATGCTTTTGAAGGTGGCTTTTAACATACAAGTCTATGGGCGATACATCTTTTTTTGAAAATTCCACGAGCACGGATAGCGCAAGATTATTTTGCTTACCAGAGAGAACACCTTTTGGGCCACTCAATAGTTTTTAAAAAAGTCCGTACAGAAAGGTCACCTCTTGAATTTTTTAGAAGGGCAGTTATAAACACCCGAAAAATGCCCGCTACCCTCCTTTTTTAAGCTCCACCCCGCTCTTTACTATCACGTTAGAAGGTTGCGGTTTTAGTATTATTTTGTCCGCAATGAAAAGTTACACAAGAAAAGTGAACAGTTCATGTTGAAAGTACTTGCAGAAATATATTTAAATTTATTTTGTGCAACTGTCCACACTTGGCGCGACCACCCTGTAGTAACTGAAATGCGCGAACAACCACGTAGATATAAAATAAGCAATCCAATCCGCAAAACTCAAGCTTACTCACAAAGAGCGTTGAAAACACGAGTGCTATCTGCAGCGGAAGCTGGGAGAAGTACACTGCGTCCATTCAGGAAGATTTAAAACAGAAACCAAGTCAACTTGCAGAATTGAATGGAAGTAATACTTCCCCAAACATAAACACCTCCAACATACTTTATTCCTGTTGGTTGCAACATGGCCATATCCTGTACTGTATGTCGGGAAACGATTCGCAGTTTAACAATGGATAACGGACATGCAAACCCGACAGACACACCAACCGGTATGCAACATGAATTAAATGTATCAAAATTGTTGCAACATGGTATTCACGAACGATACATTCCATTTTGTTGCCTGTGGCAGTAAATTGTATCAAACTGAAGTTGCAACGAACATCTGTTCTTTGTATTTGTATGGAAGTCTGAATAGTTTAATGGCATTTCTTGGCAGATGATGCAGTTTATTATGAATTGCAACACTATCAGCTATCTTGCCAAAGAAAGTGATTGACAAGGCTGTTGAAAGGTGCGTGACATAAAAATTGCAACAGTGGCTGTAACAATACGCAGTGTACCCAGTAACTGACTACGGTACCATCGCTAATGAGAAGCGATTCCGGCTTACTGGTGCTTTTTTTCACCTAGCAGACGCTGCCGAGTTAATAATGAGACACTTCGCAAGCATATACCTCTGTGGGAAAGCACTAGTGCAGTTTACATTTCAAAATGTATACGCTCTTCGACTTGTTTTTTCTAAGTAGAATCAAAGAGGATTTATTCGGCACAAAACTAACTACAAAACTTAATTAATGTCTTCAATTAGCAACGGGGCTATCAGGCGAGCCGAGGGTATGTGAGGCGTAGCGCGCCCTTGTCATTTCGGTAGAACGCATATCGCGGACCAATGGACAATGGGCATACAGTACATACGAAACATTGCAATCTCTAACAATGATTTTCGATATTTGTCTTACAACTGTTGAACGAAATTAGAATGGCATAAATTATAAAATTTGTTGTTCAAGTCATTGTTCACCGGAGCTTTTTTAAGTTTTTGGACACCGTAGGCCTTTTAAGCCATTGTTTACCGAAGCGGTTTTAAGTTTTTGGTCACCAAAGGCCTTTCAAGCCTTTGGTCGCTGAAGGCCTTTCATGCCTTGGGTTACCGAAGGTTTTCAAATCCTTTGGTCAGTGAAGGCCTTTTAATCTTTTCGTCACCAAAGCCAACGCGTGCGGTATCCATCTCATTAAGCCTTTGGTAACCGGAGGCCTTTTAAGCTTTTGGTCACAAAAGGCTACGGGTGCGGTACCCATCTTATTAAGCCTTTGGTAACCATGGTCTTTTAAGTCATTGTTCACCTAAGCGCTTTTAAGTTTTTGGTCATCAAAGAACTTTTAAAACTTTTGTCACCCAAGGCCTTTTAGGTTTTGATTTCCAAAAGGCTTTTTATTTTTAGCCTTTGGTCACTGAAGCCCCTTCAAGGTTTTGGTCACCGGAGACTTCGCGTGCAGTACCCGTCTTATTAAGCCTTTGGTAACCGAAGGCCTTCTAAGGCTATGGTCACTGAAGCCCTTTCATGCCTGGGGCCACCGAAAGTTTTCAAAGGCTTTGGTCAGTGAAAGCCTTTAAAGCCTCTGGTCATGAAGGCCTTTTAAGCTTTTGGTCACCAAAGCCTACGCGTGCGGTCCCCATCTCACTAGGCCATTGGTAAATGTACCACGCGGATGCTCCGAAGACGGCCAGCATCAGACGACATATACAGTCGATCACATCCTGGTTGGAGATGCAGGTTAGAAATTACGGGGACGACCGCGAAAGGTTGGCAACGACTAGCCAGGCACCACAACAGGCCATGGCTACTAGTCCACCGTCTCGGATAAGAGAAGTCCAGTCGACACGGAACCCGACTGGTGACTTTCCTCGACCTCTACCTCCTCCGGCACAACAACAGGCCAACCTGGACCCGGAAATGGTGGAACGGATCCACGGAGTCTTGAAAATGGGCGACGAAGTAATGGTTGAACTTCGACAGATGATGGATGCGACCGACCAACAGAGTCCTCGCTATTGTCAAATCGACATTAACCTAGGCCACTTGGAAAACAATGCCAAGGAGGTCCGGTTCATTTTACGACCGACGACAGTACATTCGGCGAAGAACCGGGAAAGGCTGCAAAGCTTAATGGCGAAGATCGAATCCTTCATCGACGACTTCTACAGGAAAAAGGAAGCCGAAGAGCAACGACGTAAGGCGAAACAACCGCCTTCTGCCAAGAAGCCTAAAGTCCAACAGAAACCACCAGTCCAGTCGGTCAAACCGTTGGAAACGACTCCACCGACCGACCAGGATGAACCAATGGATGACGTACCAGTACCACCGCTCGAAGACGAAGTCGAAGCGATGGATACATTCGAACCGGGAAATGGCCGACCTAAGCCATTTGTCCGACCGACAATCTTACCGGTGCTCTCACATAGAGAGCTTCAATCCACCGAACGAACGCCAGACGGTCGGTTAATTGTCCAACCAGGAGGACCCGGGTCACCCAAATTCGTGAGGAAGCCGAAGGCGGATGAGAACTTTAAACAGCGCGGTCAACGAAGCCGCCTCTTCTCGTCGAAATCACCGGGCAGAACGAAGGAACTGGTGAGATCGGCTCCTAATGTCCCACCTCCCGAAGCAGAAGAGAGTCAACCACAGAGGTCGACTCCTTCGGATAAGGAGTTATTTACCCCCAGCGTCTATAAGAAGCTGGTCAGAAAAGCTAAATCTTCGGATCTCCACCGTCAGAACGGAGGAACAACTCCTCGAACTGGTGAGATCGGCTCCTAATGTCCCACCTACCGAAGCAGAAGAGAGTCAACCACAGAGGTCGACTCCTTCGGATAAGAAGTTATTTACCCCCAGCGTCTATAAGATGCTGGTCAGAAAAGCTAAATCTTCGGAGATTCAACGGATACTCTATGATGCACAACTCAAAAGAGGAATCTGGAAGCAGAATATCTCAGAGGAGGAGCAGGCACAACTAGCTCAACGAATTCACGCCACCATCCAGGACAGGGATACGGCCTTACGACGGCTGATGATACTTAGGTGCGGAAAGCAGGAGTTACGACAACTCCCGCTCGACGCGACTGTCATTAAGCCGCTTCAATTTCTCCGCCATCCTCGCATCAACCCGGCTGCCTACATGCTGGAGGTACCACCTAAAACCGGACACGACGTTACTGAAGAAATTCCGATGACAATGTCGGATAGCAGTAACGAATCCAACCAAGGATACCGGAAAGGCTAGCGAATCGAAGATGATCCGATTTATGACAACGACTTAACAATGCAGGACGCGTTGCTACAAGACGCACGCACAACCTCAGGTCGGTCGTCAGCATCTAAACAAGATCGGGTGTGGGAAACATCCACTCTACAAAGAAGTAGATCCCCAGTTAAACAGATTTCGCCCATCCGAGCAGCATCCCAACCGATAAGGATGCCGAGCCAACCTACGACGGAATAACTGCGTAGGTTTACGCCTAGGAACACTCCGACTAAACTGAAGAAAACGGGAGAGGAGATGGACATAACGTCTCCGTCGAAAGCCAGAACCGGAACGGAAGTCGTAATGGCACTACAGGAGGCCGAACCGACTTCAGTCCACTCCGGCCCACATTACACCATCGATGAATCTCGGACGAACGAGCCGGCAACAGAACCAGTAAAGTCGAATAAGAAGGAAAAACCGCCGCAGGACTTCTCACGCGAATTCCACAACGATCCAGCCTTGCAGCACGTTCAAGACCTAACTCGGTCGGAACAGGACGTTAGCGTTGACATGGCGTTCCCAGAAGATAGGGAACAGTGGCATGCGTTGAGAATCCGCCGTGGAAACTTAACCGGACAAACGAGCGCCGTCCATCGGGAATATGACCGACTAACGGAGAGGATGGCCGAAGTGATGAAACGGATGGGGGGAACATTACCGGGCGGAAAAGAACCAGCCGAAGGCACTACAAGAGGCCACTCCGGCTAGGCATGAAATCACCGCCCCGACTCCCAAGCCGACCGCAAAGACGACATCACAACTTGTCGTCAAGTTTAAGAACCCTCAACCGACCAGGGAACCTTTCGTGCAGATAAAGGACGACTGATTATTCGACCCGAATGTCATCCACTCAGCCAACTTGGCTTAGTTATCACGGAGGGAAAAGAAGAAGACTCACAAAGAGGCCAAGAGAGAAGCTGCGAAACAGCCCATTAAACCGGAAACCGAAAAGAAACAATCGAAGTCGGATACCAAAGAGTCGACCAAACAGAAGTCGGATTCCTCGATGAAGACGCCGAAACCGAACTCGGCCAAAGACATAAGTCATTCGACGACCTGGACGTCTCCGACGCCGGCCCACAGAGGACCGAGCAGAAGGAGAAAGCCAACGAAAGTGAAAAATACGACAACGACGCGGCCGAGCGACGTTTCAGGAATTGATGAAGTTGGCCGGCACAAAGCCGACCAAAAACTCGGCAGAACGACCACAGAAGTCGTCCAAGCCAGTTAAGCCGTCAGAATCTAAGCCTTCGGCATCGAAACAACAATCCGATGAGGAATCCGACCAAATCTCGGACATTGAGACAAAGGATTCAATCCCCGACCATGGAGAAGGCGACCCGTATGAAGAAATTAAGGGCGATTTGAAGAAAATTTTCAAACACGGAGCGAACACCGACGAATCTCTCTGGCCGGCTCTATACGATACACGTCAACGACTCCCAGACGAACAGCAGGATGACCCGACGACAGTAATCCGTACTGTTCGAGTGCACGTTGAAGTAGTACAGCGCATAAAAAATGCTAAGAAAAACGCCATGGACGTTTACCAGTCTCTCGTACAACATCCTCAGATATCCTACGTCAACAAAGAGAGACCGCCGGAAGGTATGGAGATGATTATCGAGGAGTATAGCGAAACAGACAAACAATCGGCCGGTGCGGCAGCCGACTTTCTACATATAGTTCGAGCAGCTGGACAGTCGTCACAGAGATGGATCCAAGCACGACCTAAACCTCGGGCATCTTTCAAACCGGTAACGTACATTAACACGGCATCAGCCCCAATGGGACGGGCAAGTGCGGCGAAACAAACTCGGAGTGTGAAAGGACGATTCGCACCAAAGGACACACAGTCACTTCCGCCAACCTCGCCAGTGGAAACTTCACCGGCTCTGGAAAAAAGGACTCAACGGAAGAGTCAGCCGAAATCGACTAAGGCGAAGAAGAAGCCGGCTAACAAGAAGGATGACTCGACTACATCCGAAGAGGATGAGGAGGATGAC